ATAGTCGACAAAGGTTAGGACTAGAGGCAGGTGGTATTCCCGACAAACTTCAATGACCCTGGACACCGCTTGGATGTGGTCCATGCAGCAAAATCCTTTTCGAAATCCTGCTTGCTCGACTGGTTGCGCCACATCCAATGTCCTTGATATGCGCGAGTGGATAATCTTCGTGAAGATCTTGTAGAGTACATTTAACAAGCTACGAAGATCCCTTCGGTCTCCTTTCTTGGGCAGGATGACCGTGCTCGACGTCCTCCACTGGTCTGGGATTTTTCCTTTTGATGGTAGCCTATCATATGATCTGCGAGAAGTGGCCTCCAGCTCTAAGGAAATCGGCAATGATATTATTGGGTCCTGGAGCCGTGTCTCTTTTCACGCTTTCTATCGCAATTCGAACCTCCGACGGAAGAATTCCAGGTGGTTTTCCTCCAGCGGGGATGTTAGGGCTCGGGACAGGGATTGTGGAACGGAAAGGGTTGGTGTAGAACGTTTTCGCTATTAATTCCATATCATGGCAAGAAGTTTTGACGATCCCATCTTCGTTCATAAGGGCTGACAGCGAAACATTATAACCACAAAAGTCCCGACGGCATTTTTTCAGACTGCTTCTTCTCTCTGCTGTTTCCAGTATTTTCTTCTGCGTGTATCGTTGTAGATCTTCCTGCAAAGCTCTTCTACAGCTGGCGTTTATTACTAGCCATGTTAAACGTGTTGCAGTAGGTTCAAGCTTCAGTTTTCTTCTCTTTTCGAGCAACTCCTTAGTAATGATGGAGATGCGATCCGATCTCGTTGCTTGAGGAACTGAAACGGATGCGGCACAGCTTTTCAGTCCTTCGACAAGCAGCTCGTAGTCTTCGGTCGGGTCTTCTTTAATCTGCTAGTCACATTTGGATAGGACTTTGTTCAGAATGTTCTCGTCGTATACAGCTAGACTTTTTCCTCGTGGTCGATGAAGAGAGTTCTTTTCCAACTTGCGGCTGAATCGAATCTTCGCGCGAAGAAGGTGGTGATCGGAACCAGTACAGAATGACGGGACTACCGATGTGTCAAGTAGGCACCATCTTCTATTTGTCAGGATATGGTCGATTTCCGCATAAGTCATGCCCTTAGGAGACTCCCATATAGCAACTATTGCCAGAATAGTTACTATTCATTCATCATATCGTAGGTCTGTGGTAACTTTCCAATCCGATCCTGTATCCATAATTTCCGATCCTGTGTTCGCTCTCTTTGGCCTTTCCCATTCTGGCGTTGAAGTCTCCAACAACAAATTTATGATATGTTTTATCATTGCGGATGACTTCCTCCAACAGATAGTAGAACGCATTTAATTCGTTCTCATAAGCTACGTCGGTCGGTGAGTAGCAATTGATGATAGTGATCTTCTTATGATGCGACAGTTGAAGACGGAGGACGGCTATACGAGGGGAAAGGATCACGTATGAGTCGACGAGATGGACAATGGACGGTGGACGATGAAGCCTGCGCCACCGACATTTCGTGACGGGTCCTTTTCTCCACGGATCACAAGGATCCCATTGTTTAGTTGGCGTATGTCGGTCTTCCTGATTTTTATTTCTTGTAATGCGATCACATGAAATTTAATCCGATCTGCGGCTACAAGAAGGGCATGAAGATCGGCGTCTCTGGAGAGTGTTCTGGCATTATACGTGCATGGTAAGAAACAGTCCCCATGGCGTGTCATGCGTGTGTTCGTCAGATCCGGTTCCAATGACGTCCTGCGTAACCCGAGGTTTTTTGGCCTCTCACCGGTCGCCTCACCGCCTGACGTCATAGACGGGAGCACCCAGCGTGCGTTCCCTTTGCAGTTCATGATTGTTCGTATCGACAAAAACCAGTCTCCGGTCGTTTCGCTACCCACACTAGACTGACTACTAAAAGTTGTGGAAGGCTGTTGTCGGGCACCGTGCTTTTTCTGTCACACACTGTAGAATTAATTCATCATAACCAACACTGTAGTTATTCTCCAATTCACCTTCTTCAGAGTCTTGATCAAAGGAGATTCCACATAGTCCTACATGTCTTCACCTTATATACGTCTTCGTGCAATCTTCCGTAGGCGACCTCATATTAGACCATGACCCACGCAGCAATATTATGAGATTACAAGTCGGATTTTGCATTTTACGGTTTAAAAGTGCAACCATTTCTGTCAAATCAGAAAATTAATTGTGTAACACGCAATCAGTGTGGCACATTTCGACCGAGAGATGAAAGCCAAATACCCTGCCCTAATTACGCTTTTTAGTCGCACCACAATGTCAACATAGCTACTAAATACAAAAAAATCATAGGAGTGCTGAAATTTGAGTAAAACTAGAAACCTAATTTTCTCTTCGAACCAGGAATCACGCTTACTAAGGACTCGGGTGCTAGCCATCATACCAACAGAAGCCTTTGCTTTGCCTCTCTCTAAACTATGTTTCCACTGTGTCAATCCTATCAGCAGTCACCCGTCAACGAGAATGATCCAGACCCCAGTAAGGTAATCGCAGGTTTGAAACCTAACTGAGCTCCCTAGTTTTGCTCATATCACACATCCCTCTAATTGTAATTCACGTCGCACCCCGCCATGAAGAAATAATGGACAGAAAATAAAAGTAAAACATTGTGATCTCGACAGCAGGTTCACCTTACTGGATTCAAAGCCAATTTGTGCTCTCCAGATCATTCCTGTTGACGAATGATTGCTAGTAGCACCGTTAGAGTAAAAACATAGCTGAGAGAAAGGCAAAGCAAGAGCCTTGCTTAGTATAAAGGATAGCACGTATGCCCGCAATAAAAGAAATCGCAGACTCGAAGCAATCTGAGGTTCCTTATGCTCATGGTTGCACTTCATATCGTACCTTATTATGAAGAAAGAATAGGCAAAAAATAAAAATAAAAACATAGCTAGTAAGTGTAAGTGTGCAACAACGGCAAGCTTGGAGAAACTTGAAGCTCATCGTACGGTTCCTGTCCAAGAATATCTGTCAGAACTTCGCCTACTCTTAGAACTCTTCGCAAATGGCTGGTCACTACCTAATTTTTATAAGAAAGTGCAAGAAAACAGCCGTAAAACGTTTCTTCCTAAAGTGCTCACTCTTCCGCTCTTTCTACTGCTCACCTGAATTGGCAGTGATAATCATAGCGTGAAACAAGGAAGTGTGTTCCACTAGCAAATGAGATACTATCTTGATCTAAAATGTAGTGGCCTCTTGTTCCTAAAAGTAACACTTCATCGGCACGCTAGTCACCAAAGCACGACGAATAAAAGGTCACATGCATGAACATGCTATGCGGATGAGTGAGGCACCAGAAAACATTACTATCAAAACCTCACGATATATCCATGAATAACCTACCCCATTTTGATCAACCATGAATCATCCTCAAGAGGAATCCCATCCCGCTTAGTCGCGAGACAACGTGGCGCGCCCACTAGTGGCGGGGGGTTGATCGCGGAGCAAAAGCCACCTTACGCCTCTCTGAGACAGGTGGATCCAGGGGATGGACTCCGTGTTTAGGCTACGCCGATTTTGCACATACGTTCTGTGTTCACGAGAACATTCATACATGCGTGGGGGTGTGCTCTTGTTAAGGCGGTTTGAATTCCATGACTCAACTCGGCTAAAAGCCTCCAACCAAGTAACAGGGAAGTATATGGGAGGCGGTTAGGAGTCGCCTCCAACAAATAAGCTCCATGTCCATCTGGGAGAGACTGGCAAGGTGCCCGTGAGTATACCCAGCCCCCACGTTGAGAACTCAGCAAGCTACATGTGGGTATCGAAATGCTAAATACAGTAAGAAAAAAACGGGTCTCATTCCACTGATCCCGAAAGGACCCCCAATTTCGCAGCGTTGGAAAGGACGAGTACGGAGAGGCTGTTAAAATCTCAGAGCCAATGGGAGCTGCCTGGATTATAAAGAACTAAGGTGACGATCCGTACCTACAATGCACGTATACCTGTATCCGAGTCCTCCGTAGAGTACTTGCTCATGCAAGCAAGAAGGATAAGGTACGACATTATCGGCCTGGCCGGGACGAGACGACGCCACCCATTCAACGCCGTTTATAACACCGGAGAACTGTTCCTCGAAACATGCGACAGTGGAGGAGTCGGTGTAGCCGGCGTTCTCGTCAATATCTATATTCATGTTCTTACGAACTGCCCTTGTTTAGATGACGCGGGGCTGGTATAGTTCTCATTGTTGTTGTTGTCGTTATTCAATGGCTGACGTTTAGGAGACTTCGCCTTCCTCAGAGTTTAGCCGTGCCATATTTAACGGTAGCCCCAAAAACCGGTGAGCTCTATGGTATTAATGGATATCCAGCAAATGAAGAGACGCCAATTTTCAAAAACTATCCCCCGTGCTGTTGTACTAGCTGTGTGTTGTTCACGACAGATGATAAGTGAGGCCTACCTATGGAGATGTGGGAATCAGATGTGACTTACCACCCAACACCCTGCGTTACCAGCTAGTTCGAAACCGCCTCTATGACCGTTCGTGCAGCTCAGAAAATTGTGTAATCTATCCTAACAGAAGAGATGGGGATTGCATAACTTCGGATACAACATACTTGATCTCACGTAAGGCATGCGGTGAAAAATACATTGGGAAAACGGGTAGACCATTTTGTGTCCGCATAAAAGAACATCTAGGTGGGAAAAGTAAAATTCGACAAAGTACCCCTCTATGTACAAATAGGGTACGAACTCACAACAGTAATGAGTTTGGAGTGAATTGAGGGATCCTAGCACGGGAATTTAAAACATCAACGCAATACTTTAGAGGTCTTTCAGACGAATTTCGAAAATCCAAAGATGAACAGGAAAGACGTGACGTGGCACTCGCTATCACACGTGACATCGCACCTTATCTCAGAACGATCTCTTGGTGTACATCTCATGGGTCGATCTCACTCATCATTCCTCATGAACAACACGCTGCTAGTCCAACAGAACGTGGGTAGTTTTTGGAGACTGGAGTCTATTCATATGCTGGTACTCATTAGTACCATGGTGCTCACCGAATTGTGGGACTACTGTTACATGCGGTACGACCAGGCTCTGAGCAAGGCGACTCCGCCGAAACACCAGCTATTGAACAACGACAACAACAATAACAATAAGATCTATGCTCCTATTCCAATTCAGCTGCAGTTATTCGACAAGAAATCCAGGTCTAACACGGATGGACTGCAAGATTCCGTCAAACTTGAATAATTAAACATCAATGGTTATCTTAGTGCTAAAACTGGAGCCAGAAAAACGTCTGAGGAACGCCACACTAGGACACACGCATTAGAAAGGAATGAGGAGAGGTGATCGGCTGCCTGAGTCTATCATGACGACCAAGGCTACCCATGATAACTCACGATTCCAGAACCACCGCTCACACCATTGGACGTGGGAGACTTCCACTGGAGAGCACCACAACGAGATATACCACATCATAGTAAACCAAGGGTTTTGCCTAATCGATTAATTAAGCTCATTAGTAAACAGAGAAGAGCATCAGTAACGGTCGAAACTGCAGAGGATAGGAGAATTCGCTTAGATCACTGGAACTTCGCTGATTACAAAACCAAAGGCAGTTGACCTGCGACGTGCAGACGGAGCGATTACGCTCCCAGAAAGGCAGTGGAGAAAATCATCCATTACTACTACTCGGATCTCTTCAACAGCATGTCCTGCACTCATAAGAAATAGAGGGTGGATATGTCGCACCAACCGTTCATCATTGCTAAATTCGACATGTTATTTCGTAGCTTGAGAATAGAACTACACCTGGTCTTGACAGGATATGATCTGAACAACTGAAGAACCTTCCGCCAATCGGCATCAACAAGGGCTAAGCTATTAATACATTACCTGTCAGAATACGAGGCTCCTATTCAATGAAACACTAGCAGGACTGCGTTCTTGTTCAAGAAGTGTGACTCCACGATAACGGCAATTGTTCCTCAATGTGCTTGCTGTCTGACGCCTACAAACTCTTCTCTCGACTCATCCTAGACGGGATACTGTACACTGGACAAGGGATAGCCATGTCAGTAAACAGGGTTTCGGAAAGGATTTAATACAATAGACGATAGTGTGACTCACTGATGTATCGCAAGAGTACGACAGGCCTCCCTGTCTCAATCTCGTCGATTTAAAGAAAATTTCGGCCCAATTGAATGTTGAATTGAAAGCACTACAGAGAGCCTTGGACAGCCGGATTGGTTTTCTATCCCACATTACCACTCAACGGGACGAACACATCTGAATGCTCCACCTACGTCTATTTAGGTCGAGAAATCAATATGATGGACGACTTAGCTCGAGATTTGAGCAGAAATTGAGTGGTATAGGGAACTTTCACCAGTATCTAAAACGTGGTGAAGAGAACATAGAACACCCGACTCTGTGCTCACTTTTTGGACTCCACGATCCTCATTTCCACAAGGTGTGCCTCAGGAATTCTCCCTGCGTAAGCAGAACGAAGGATCACTCAGTATTATAGAATTTGCACTCGAAAATACGATGACAAGATCATCGCGTATCACCCAAGTAGGAGAGGGGATACGGTCTGGCCTGTTTCAACGACCAAACACCTAGTACGTCATTCTGTAACCCGAATTGTCGAAGATAAGGTGGGCCTCACGCGTAATGCGTATGAACAACAACCGAAAGACAAGAGGCGTTAGTAACTTGATTCCCCGGAATATCAAACGCACTGGAGGAAGATCACCGACCCGATGGTCAGAGTTCTTCATGGAAACCCTGGAAGAAAGATTAATGGTCAACGAGTCCCTAGAGCAAGGCGAACCCACTAGTCTGCTTTTGTGTGTGAACGAAAGAAATGGAAGATTTACTGGCGGCCGAGCCAGTCACTCGACGACCAACCGACATGTGACAACCTGATCAAAGAAACGACCCCATCAATTTGTATATGGAGAAGGGCCGTAAATCCACACAACAACTAACATGGAACATCCATCATACTGATTGGGCGGTAGAACTAACATAGAGTAACAGGCATTCGGCTTACCGTCAAATTCGAACAAGCAGAATAAAGCTTCCCTGACTGCTGTGACAAGTGTTGTAACGAAAAGAAATATGTAGAGTTTGCCTCGGATAAAGCACATAAAGTAGCAAGAAAACATAAAGTCGATTTTTGATGCATAATATATTTCACAAAGTACACCTTATACAGTAGAGAGTTGACCAAACCCTAGTTTTACAGATCGGCACATTTAGAGAAGTCCAAATGAACTGTGCACTAATACAATAAGTGAGGAAGGTTACAACAAGAAATTCGTACACACGAATTAAATACAGCAGTATCCTGAGGTGTTCTGTACAAACAATTTTCGAACAAAAGAAGACAAAATGCGAACCAATATGCTGTGGAAAACGACTTGTTACCCTTGCGAGAAAAACGAATAGGCAAGTAAACTGCATTTTACCAAAACCTGTTCTTCAAGATGAAAAAAAAAGAAACCGGGAACAAAAACCGACTGCACGTAATACAATTCTGTCACCAATGGGGACTCTCAGTGCTAGTCACCGTAAATACACTAAAAAAGTACCCCAAAAAAAAAATGGAAATCCATATGATCATGGAAAGCTGTTGGGAACTGGTAGACCAAGAAGCTCAGATTTGCGACGAAGAATCTCATTCATTTCAATTTCCATCTGGAATGTTTTCTTATTACTAAGCTGGAAAATGGAAAAGTCGGATGAATATGTACAGTTCTACTAATGGACGTACACATTTCCCAAAAATAATCAAAAAATAATGTTAACTTTTATTTTCTGCCAAATATAATTTTTGACGGCAGGTTATTACGTGTGACTCAACCACAATGATGCTGAGATTTTTGCAAAACTCCGGACCGCAGGGTTTTTGCGGTGGGGTATGAAGGCGTTATTAACCTTTCTAGGGACTAACGCGTTCACCACTTGCCACATAATAACCTGCCGTGAAAAATTGTAACAGGTAGTAAATAAAAAGTTAACATTGTGATTTAGGCTACAGGCTCAGCTTAACTGGGTTCATTGCCGATTTGGGGTCCCCAGATCAATGCCGTTGACAGATGATTGCTGATAGCCTGATCGATAGAACTAGCTGAGAGACAGACGAAACAAAGGACCTGCATGGTGTGGGGGTGAACGCGTTAGTCCTCTGAAAAGACAGTAGCGCGCTCGTTTCCCACCGCAAACAATCATTGGGGTTGAATTTTAAAACAACTGGGTTTTATTGCCAATAAATTAAGACGGGTGGTAGATGGGAGGGAAACTTCATAAATCATCACAGTGATCCTTCCAAATAACACAATGAGCAAAAACGTACCTTCCTAAGATCAGATATCGATTCAATCAATGCCTTCTGGAGATTCTCGATTTTCAACCTCGTTGTATGAATTTCATGCCCTTTTTTCAATTCGGTAATGCCTAATAACCAAAATTCTTGTCGCTCCTACAAAACAAATTGTCATTATTCCAGAATGATCAAAGAGTGGCCGGAAATATACCTACTTTCTCTCCAGCAATGTTACTTCCATTGACAGCAGTTGAAAAAGACGCCTTAAGCATGATGGTAAAATACTGACATTTAAAATAAATCAGTACAAATGCAATACAATTCATAGTAGTAAAAAAGTCACCGTTTGATCAATGCGGGGTGGACTAGGAAGAACATCAGGTGGAGGACTTTCAGTCGGCTCTTCCTAAAGCAAAGTTTTAAAAAAACACATGCACATTTTTTTGAGGAAAAGGCGAAGCGCACCACTTTTTCTTCTATTTTTAACGTGCCAACAAACGTCTTCACACAGTAATTCATCTATAATAACGAACTAGTGTAAAGCAACTTAACGTTTTTTACAATAAGCAGACACGAGGTTGCCATTATAGAATCGATTAGGATACAATAGCTGAACGGTAAACGGCAGGTGTTTAAATGAAGCTGTCTCTTATGCGAATGCAAATTCATTTGTTAAGTTTTATCTGCTGGATATGAAAGTGTTTGGCTGAGTAGATCGCATCTCAATTTGACCTTTCCAGGCTCTGAAGAAGGAGAAACCGCCGAAACATCAGCTATTGTATCCTAATAAATTCTATAATAACAACCTCGTGTCTGCCTATTGAAGAACACATCGAATTATCACTCAATACCGAGGTTAACAAAAAATCGGTTTCGAGTAAAGCAATTTAGTTCAGTAAAAAAATCATTCGTAGTGTAACATCGAAATGGTGTCACCGTGTGTGAAAAATGTGCGGAAGTTTCAGTTATCTTGTTTTTTCCTTTGTCAATTAATATTTGGGGTATTTCAAAAGGCCGTCTATAAAGAATTCATGGTCAAATTCAATCGAAACGAGGGAATTCATCCTGCACCTATACCTCAATACGTGAGCACTGTATGAACATTTTGGTATTGGTTTATTGAGAATGTGGAACTAACAATGGTCTCAGTGCAGACCTGTTCTGGAAACGCTACGTGAAACACATTGTAAAAAACTGAATAGGAGATACAACAGATTAGAACAACCAGTGGTCAATAGTGGCCAAAAAAATGAACTGTACCTTTACTGTCAGGACTTCTGAGGGATTGCTAACGTTTGGAAGTGACGTCAGGTCAACGCGACTTGTTAATGAATGACTCTCGAAAACTGCAGAAAAATTTGCTAAAATAGTTAAAACAAAGCATAACAACCTATATTTCAACTTTTTATTCCTTTTCAACTCCATTTTTATATAGTAAACCACCCCCTCATAGTAGTTCGGGTGCCGATAATTGATGTACAGCATGAAGTACATAAACCCAGCAGTGTCTTAAGCTAGACTTGAACATTTCTTTCGCAACTATCAGCGAGCCACCGCCAAGATGTCAATGCCACAAATCAACGTCGTATTGGTAGCAAGTTAGTCAAGAGATAACGAGTCTTCGTTCGATCCACAAAAGCCACCGTCTAGCTGTGGTTGTGACACAATAATCCCCATCAAGCTACCTCGACAACAAACGGATAGATCACCGTCTGGTGTTAATCAATCCTTTAGAAATGTGCCAAGCATCCGACTTCACTATGCAGTGTTAGATCGACTACGTGCACATTTTGACTATACAACGAATAGAGGATACCGCACCAAGTTAGGGTTATTATCCCTGCAGAGAGGTTGGCACTAAACAACCGACCCCAAATGAATTGAGAGCTTCGTTTGCCAGTGACACTGAATCCCAAGAGTGTAGCGATGACTTCAGTTCGGTGAAACTTCTATAACCTTCATTACATGTATCGCACCTCAAGAATAGAAGGAAAAACTAGATGGTGCACCACCACTTCAACACCAAGCACACTAGGTGCTCCTGGCCATGATGTTGGAAATTGAGACAACCACTGACTATTGACCATATATTGCATTACAACGAACTTCATCGGAATTAAATCAAAAGAACATGGCTACCTGACTATAATATACTACTGAGAATGTTCTTTGGTCCGCACCATTACTACAAAAAAGGTGTCCTAAAACATAAACTTTCACGTTCATCAATATGCTGCAATTACTTCAAATTACATCATATTACAAAGAATCAAGGGTTTTGATAAAAACCATGATACACATAGAGAAATAATCACGCAACAGAAAAATTAATGAGTGGACTGTGTTGTACATCTATCCGTTATCAGCCACGTCGTCTCGTACTATTGTATTCAACTACTTTTGCTATTCGACCCATAAAAGGATAAAAAGAATGAAGCTCTAGTTGTTAATTAATCGCTGAGTGATGTGCCACGCAAAAGACTTCATTAAGTATCGCTAGAGGAGACTGAATCCATGTATGGCCTTTACAATGACTCGCGGTGGCTTACGGATGTATCGAGCCAGTGCTGCTAACCTCCCAGAGAGGTCTGGTACCAATTTGCCGACTCCGGAGGGATGAAAGGCCTCCGACCACTGCGCCACCCACGCCCATACGGAAAATGTCATCAGCTTCTAGTAACCCGTGCAGGAGAGAACATAAATTCCGCGCATTTTATTACCAATCCGACGAAGTAATCTTCAACTGAAATTTCACCTGTTAAAACGCTGTTAGACAGTTCAACGCCATACTAGACCGCCTAATAAATACATTATCATAAATAAAGTGGTAATCAATTAATATTTTAAACACGACCTTGTCCTTTACAGATGTACCTGGTTGTCGTTGCAAAAATTCAAGTCGGCCTGTATATGATTGGCATAAAGCCCTAAAGCCTTAAAAAGCTAGGCAGCGAGTGTGACGCAGTGGACAGAGACCCCCGCAGTACACATGGGATCGATCCTCCCGCCCCAGACTCGCCAAGCCCTCCATCTTTCCGAGGTCGGCAAATTGGTGCCAAACCTGTCTGGGAGAATAGCAACACTAACTCAACACATCGGTAGGCCACTGCGAATAAATGTATGGGCCAAATAAGCACTCAATCACATCTAACGATGCTTAATGAAATCGGATGCATTGCGCATGCCTTAGGGAATGATCAACGCCGAGAACTTTTGTAAACAGAGGACCTAGAAGATGCGCCAAATAGGTCTCAATAAAGAAATTTTTAATAACACTATATCAACATCAAGATGTTTCTCACAGAACAAATCTGGAGGTAGGTCCGAATAACACGTATCTAACACAGCTCATAGTAACTACAATCTTACAGGAGAACTTGAACGGTAAAGGCGAAAAGAACTAAAAGAAACGGTTCAAAAAGCTCCAGCGTACGTGAGTTTCACCACCTATCCGAATGCGTTTCGCTATCATTTTTAGCCATCAAAAACGAGATTACCCTCATCGTCCACAGTTACAAAGAATAGAAGAAGTCAGTCCAATCTTGTCAGTCCATCAGCTCTATGCCAAACTCAAAATCCCCGTAAGAGCTAAAATACTATGGGTTACTGTTTCGTATTAGGACCACTAAAAGCAGTTGAAAACCAACAAGTGAAGCGATAACTCCTCTCATATGTCTTCAACTCGACGCTTCTCCCAGCGCATTACTATGCAGTTGAGAGATAGGTGACTAGAGAAACTGCAAATCAGAACATTTGAACGATGTATAACAAAGCAGTGTGTTTGGCGCAGTGGTTAGAGGCGCCACTGAGACACACATGTGGAATCGATTCCCGCGCCTAAGCCCCATCAAGCCTTCCATCTCTCTGGGGTCGGCAAACCGGTACGAGATTTGAGAAGACAGTAGCACTGGCTCGATACATCGGTAGGCCACCGCCAGTCATTGTAAAGGCCAGATATGCGTTCAATCACCTCCAACGATACTTAACGAAGTCGAATGCATGGCACCTCCCTCAGGGATTGATAAACGTCGAGAGCGTTATCTTTTATCCTTTTATAACAAAGTGTAACAGGCAGATACGAAATTGATCACCTCTCTTATAAAATCCAACAGAGAATATCTCGAAAATGGAACGATCATGAGTCAGTAATAAGAGATGGACGAAAAAATAAGAGAGCGGACCTAAAGGTATGGAAGCCTTTGTGGTCTACGTCAAACAGCTATACTAGCAACTTGAAACGACTCCTTCTTGATCTTCAGTCTTAGGGAATACCACTCGCAGACGACACCATCACCGCATAAGATCACGACCGTGACGGGAAATGTGAGAGATCGAAAACCTACTCAGAACTGCACGTTAACTGGGATCATCCAAGTACCCATTATTTTCCACTATCCCTACATCTGTTTTTTTTTCATTATTATTATTTTATTATTTTTCACTAAGGCAGCGAGGAAACGCACAAGCTGCAGGCAACCGCAAACTAACGTTCGAACTTGAAAAACAATGAAGAGAGGTGATAAAAAAGGATCTTAGAGAAGAGCAGCAGTAACGACGTAAGCTGCAGAGGCTGGGAAAAGAATTTGCAAAACCCACCGAAGCTTCGCCAATTACAAGACCAAAATTATTGCACTCCGGCGCCCAGACGGAACAGGTGCAGCGCCCAGAAAGGCAATGGAGAAAATCATTCACAAATACTACTCGGATCTCTTCGAAAGCCAAGTCCACCTTCCGCTATATGAAATAAAGGAGGATGGATATGTCTTACCACCGGTTCTCCCTTCCGGAATCCGACATGCTACTTGGTCGGTGAAAAATCGAACAGCATCAGGTCCGAACAGGATAAGACCGGAACACCTGAAGAACCTTCCACAAGCCTTCGCAAACACACTAGATCAGCTCCTCACACGATACCTGTCTGAATGCAAGGTCCCTACTCAGTGGAAAACCAGCAAGACCGTGTTATTGTTCAAGAAGAGTGTTCTACATGATATCGGCAACTATCGCCCAATCTGCTTGCTGCCTATCGTCTACAAACTTTTCTCTCGAATCATTCTAAACAGGATTGACAAAACACTAGACGAAGGACAGCAATGTGAGCAAGCAGGGCTTCGAAAAGGATTTAGTACGATGGACCACATCCACACGATAACAAGACATTGAAATATCGCGAGAGTATAAAAGACCGCTGTCTCACTTTCATCGATTTACAGAAGGCCTTTGATTCAGTTGAGATAGAAGCAGTCTTGGAAGCACTTCATAGTCAAAGAGTCCCTACTCAGTACATAAAGATTCTTGGTGAGCTGTACAAAAATTTCACAACCAAGGTATCACCATTCTACAACGATATTAACATTGACGTCAAGAGGTGTTAGGCAAGGCGATACCATTTCGCCAAATTATTTACCGCCATACTCCAGAACGTCATGCGAACATTGGAATGGGATAATATGGGAGTGAAAATCGATGGTTGGCAGTTACATCATCTTCGCTTTGCTGATGGCATCGTCCTTATAACACCAAACATTTGCCAAGCGGAACGTATGCTTCACGACTTTGACAAAGCCTGTGGAAAATTGGTCTTCGACTAAATCTCACAAAAACGATGTTCATGAAAAACGGATTGGTTTCGCATGCCCCATTCACGCTCAACGGAACCAATATCTCCGAATGTTCCAGTTATATCTATCTAGGTCGGGAAATCAATATGATGAATGACCTGGCTCCAGAGCTGAGCAAAAGGAAACGAGCAGCTTGGGGAGCTTTCAAGAGCATCGAGGATGTAGTGAAGAGAACGAAGAACACCCGACTCCATGTCCACCTTTTCAACTCAACGGTACTTCCTGCCCTAACGTATGCGTCTGAAACCTGGTCGCTGAGTAAGTAGGATGAAAGGTCGCTTAGCGTTACCAAACGCGCAGTCGAAAGGACGATGCTAGGAGTATCCCTTTTCACACAAGTAAGTGATGGAATCCGAAGCTCCGACTTTCGTCAACGATCAAAATCAAAGATGTCGTTCTGTACGCCAAACAGTCGAAGATAAGGTGGGCAGGACACGTAATGCGTATGAATGACAACCGATGGACGGGAGCCGTTAGTGACCGGATTTCTCGGGATCTCAAACGTACTGCAGGAAAACCACCGACTCGATGATCAAAGTTCTTCACGAAGAGCCTAGAAGACCTAGAGCGAGCAGAACCCACTGGGCTACTCTTGCACGCGACAGGGAAAATGGAAGATTTAGTGGCGCCCGCTCGAGTCACTCGACGATCAACGAGACTACAGGTGATACAGGTGATCCATAAATCATACCATATAATTCTACAAAACCAGTTTTCTAAATTTGTCAAGACACCTGCGGGTATACAAATGGCAATATCAGAAATGATGAACCTGAAACAGAGTCCGAGGAACGCTGGAAGGCACGTTGTAAGTCAATTATGTCCGTTGTTGATGAATAGTCACCGGTTGTTTTATTGAGTTGGCTATCCTGCTTTGTAAAATTAAAAAGTTAGTAGGAAATAGATCGCTGAAATATACATCAAACCCTTCAACACATAACATCCGAAGCTGGTTTTTGGACAAACAGATGATTTCACGACAACTAGTTTATTTGCGGAGTTGTGAACCATGTACATTCATATACTTATTCATTTGCTTCATCGCTCTAATCGTAAGCATTAGGCATGCAGCATTCTTTGAATTTTAGAAACGTTTAGCATAAAAACCCTTAAGGTAATTTAACATTTTAAGATTTCCAATGCAAAAGCAGTAGCAGTATCAGACAACAACGGCACATTAGGTGGTCCATTTTTTTCTGACCTGATGAAATCCCCGTTGTTCAATTGTCTTCTTATTCGAAATACCAATCTTCACGTTAGGTAAAGATCTCAGATTCTAGTGGCTTTTATTGCAACTAAGAAGTCCTAGTGTAACATGAATCTGCTTTAATTCTGAAAGATGCCATTGCTTTCGTATCAAACATGGGCTCCCAGTGCATCATGGGCGTTAACGTTATGTTAAATAAAACATACCTTATTGACCTCAACGTTCGTTGCCGACAAACTTCGGCTACTTCCGTAAGCTAGCACAGCGCTATCCCTGTCCTTTA